CAGCAGGAGGTTGGGTGGAGTTGTTGGCACCTTTAAAGACTTCTGAAAGGCAGCACTGACTTCTTTTCCATGTGTGGTGATGTCTTGCATGGGAAGCATCTTCCTTTCAGGGTCCATCAGGATTTCATGATACAAGATGCTTCCTGAGATACCACATAACCAAGTGGCTAATTTTCACTCTGGCAAGAGATTAGTGAGGGGATGGTGTTAAATTTATCCCATGTTTCATAGGCTGTTAATCAGTGTGAGTAATTAGGAAGCAGATGATGCAGTTGCTGAGGTAAGGTGACACCAGGGAAGGCTGAAAGATCTTCAGGGACACTGAAACACCTTTGGCATTTATCAAGAATATTTCATCAAGTTTTGGCCAACTCCTTTCTAAAAAGGGATTGAAAAGTGATTCAATTCAAGTATAATTTTTTGAGATTAATCTCAAGAATAATAGTTGTTGAATTATGGAAGTAAATAAATTTGAATCCTTAGGATTTCAAGATTATTGACCATTTTTACCCTCTAAAAGAGACAGCCAAGATTTGAAGTAATCTAAAATAATTGTGTTGTTTGAAAAGAGGACAGTCTTTTACTGCTCCTGTCTCTTCATAACAGCTTGAGAAGCCTCTGGTGAAGCAAGAAGTCAGGAGATTTTGTCCTGCTTCATTTAAGGTATAGAATTCATACCTGCAGGAAGAGATCTCTAGATATGGGTGCCAAGAATATGTTAAAATCCAAACACTTAAAAGATGCTGCAAAAAGAAATTAAAATTTTAATGCTTTCCTTTTCCTTTTGCCTGTTTTATTTAGGGGGAAAAAGACTTTTATTTATCTAGGCTTGTTTGTTTTTCAGGACAGCAATAGATCTTTCTTACTCTGGCAGTGGCCCTGATATGTTTGGGCTAGTGTCAAGCATTTTAGAGGAGCCAAGCAAGCCAGAGCCAGTTACAGATTGGTAAGTTGTTCTCCAAGTTCTTACATGCTGTGTAATGTTTTCTGTGTCCTTTCACACAGATGTGATACACATATTGAATTGTTTCAAAGTTGAGTAACAAACATCTTACAAATCCTCCTGAATTATAGTGTTTTTCTTTACTGCAAAAAAAAAGAAGGCAAAAAAACTACTAGAAATGCAATTTTTCTGACATCTTCCATCAGACTACAGCATTTGAGGGGGAAAAATGATCTCATTTTAACCAGTAGGGACTTGACTGAATGCAATTAAATTTAAACTATTTAATAGAACCAGATAAACTCTGCAGTTCTGAATATACTTATCATAAATATCAGAAAGCAGCACTGATGGTCAGATTTCACACAGAGTTTAATCAACTGCAGCCAGAATATTTCCCTCTCCTCACAATTTGGAGGAGGGCTGTGTATGGATAGCCAAGAATGTGATGGGGAGTAAATGTTGGAGAGGGGCAATATCTGTGATATGTGCCTAGTTTTAGTGTAAGGACAGTTTGAAATCATTACAGGAGCTTTGTTGAACTTTATTACAGGACTTCTCTCTCCAGGTTGTTTCCACTGACGTGGGGGCCTGATTTTGGAAGCCATGGTGAATCCTCAGGGCTCTCCTCTAAGCACTCAGTTGAAAGTAAGGATTTTTCAGAGCTGGTGGGCACACAGAGCTACTCTCAGGAGCCCCTGCAGAAGCCTCACCATGTGGAGATGTTGCACAGAGGTCTGGAAGATCTTCACCTCATGGAGTCTTGGCTTTCTCCATCTGGCCCTCAGCCTGTGGACACCCTGCAGAACAGTTGTGCTGAGAATGTCTCCTCACAAGATGAGAAGACAGTTCACCCAGAGGGGTTTGTGTGTCAGAACTCAGGCTGTCATCCCCTTCTGGGCAGTTATGACCATGTGAGGTTAAACGGAGACTACCAAAAAATTGGTTCCAATTTGAGCCCTTTTTCTGCTCCAAACAGAATGAAAGAAGGCACCAGCATTCAGAAAGAGTGTTGGGAACCTGAGAGAGCCAGAGGCAAAGCTCTGAAAAACGCTGCTCAAGAGCAAGCCAAGTATTCCCCTGCTCGTGCCAGCCAGCCAGTGGATGCCTCTTGGGGTAAAGCATCCCAGGACAACCCCTTGTTTTCAAAAAGACACAAAAACTTCCCAGCTGCTCATAAACTGCAGGCATCTCTTCCTCCATCATTCTATTTTTTCAATCAGGCTCCTAAAGAAAATAAGTTCTCTGGAGGAACAGACAGAAAACCACAGGAAACCCATGTCCAGAACAGTCCTTGTAGCTTTACTTCAGGGGGTGCTTCTCATGATGAGTATCCCATTCAGATGAGTCCTAATGAATGCTCTCCTAAAGTGTCAGAATATGATCCAGCTGTAAAAAAACTGATGGAAAATGGGAGTTACTCCTCATGCTGTGGTCACACATGGCTGGAGGGGGCAGTGGCAAATCCAGCAGCTGTGTCAGGTGTCCCCTGTGGAAAAGGAATGGGGACAAGTCCTCAGTCATCTTCAGGGGCCTCAGCCACCTCTGGTGTCTCTCCCACTCATCCCTACTACCCACAGATCTCACCCCTTCTTCCAAGGAAGGGTGGAAGGTTACACAGACCAAATGGTGCTTCTCATAATTTAGGAGTTTCTAATTTCATCACAGAAGATCAGAAGCTGATGAAACCCATTGGACAATCACAGCACGACCCCTTGCCTCAGGAGGGGCAGTACCATCAGCTCCCTGTGAATTTTTCATCTGCCTGGTTAACCCAGCAGAACACTGTGAGTGAAGACCCTGAAAAACACCACAGGCTCCCAAAAAAGCAGACCCAAGAAACCAGCAATAAGGACAACAGGAGAGGCAGGAGGAACTGGATTCCTCACTTTGGGTCTGCAACCCCAAACCATCAGCAGTTCAGTGTGCTCCAAAAACCCCACAAACAGAACAGTGGTACCCTGGGAGATTTCATCAACCCTCCTTTCCTGCCTTCTTTCCCACTGATGTCAGATTTCAAGCAGAATCCCAGCTTTCCTCCATTTCATCCCCATCTCCTTTCATCCCCAAATCACTTCAGCTTCCCACCGTCGCCCTTGCTGTTCTCAGAACTGGTGGATCTTCATTACAAGGACTTCAGCCACCTGAATCCCCTCACCCAGCATCTGTTCTGTGGGGAGCCAGCTGCCCCATGCTTTGCCTTCCCAGCACCCTTCAAGTGCAGACCCCCAAGAGGTCGCAGTGGGGCTGCCAACGAGCTTCACCTCCGACTGGAGGAGTGCTACGAGCAGTGCAGAGCTCTGGAGGAGGAGAGAAAGAAGGTAAAACACAACTGGGAGTGGCTTCCTGTCAGCTGGTGACCACGTGGAACAGTTTGTAGAGGAGATCCTGTCACTCCTCTCCAAATAACCCTGTAACTCACAGTGTAAACCCAGACTCTCCTTTTTCCTGCACAGCCATTTAAGGAGAGAAAC